GACAGTGTTACCCCTTACGTTTTTTTTTTTTGGGCGAAAAATTAAGTTTCCCCAATCTTCTTGAAACTCTGGATTCTGATAGAGGGCCATGAGACTTACACCTGAGTGCAAAAATGGAGGCTCTAGACCCTTCCAGAGCTGAGATATCGAAACTCAAAATTTCGACCAGAAAAAAAAAACGACAGTGTTACCCCTTACGTTTTTTTTTTGGGGTGCGAAAAAAAAGTTTCTCCAATCTTCTTGAAACTCTGGATTCTGATAGAGGGCCATGGGACTTACACCTGAGTGCAAAAATGGAGGCTCTAGACCCTTCCAGAGCTGAGATATCGAAACTCAAAATTTCGACCAGAAAAAAAAAAAACAGTGTTACCCCTTACGTTTTTTTTTTGGGTGAAAAATGAAGTTTCCCCAATCTTCTCAAAACTCTGGATTCTGATAGAGGGCCATGAGACTTAGACCTGAGCACAAAAATGGAGGCTCTAGACCCTTCCAGAGCTGAGATATCGAAACTCAAAATTTCGACCAGAAAAAAAACTACAGTGTTACCCCTTATGTTTTTTTTTTTTTGGACGAAAAATTAAGTATCCCCAATCTTCTTGAAACTCTGGATTCTGATAGAGGGCCATGAGACTTAGACCTGAGTGCAAAAATGGAGGCTCTAGACCCTTCCAGAGCTGAGATATCGAAACTCAAAATTTCGACCAGAAAAAAAAACTACAGTGTTACCCCTTATGTTTTTTTTTTTTTTGGACGAAAAATTGAGTATCCCCAATCTTCTTGAAACTCTGGATTCTGATACAGGGCCATGAGACTTACACCTGAGTGCAAAAATGGAGGCTCTAGACCCTTCCAGAGCTGAGATATCGAAACTCAAAATTTCGACCAGAAAAAAAAACGACAGTGTTACCCCTTACGTTTTTTTTTGGGGTGCGAAAAAAAAGTTTCTCCAATCTTCTTGAAACTCTGGATTCTGATAGAGGGCCATGAGACTTACACCTGAGTGCAAAAATGGAGGCTCTAGACCCTTCCAGAGCTGAGATATCGAAACTCAAAATTTCGACCAGAAAAAAAAACGACAGTGTTACCCCTTACGTTTTTTTTTTGGGGCGAAAAAAAAGTTTCTCCAATCTTCTTGAAACTCTGGATTCTGATAGAGGGCCATGGGACTTACACCTGAGTGCAAAAATGGAGGCTCTAGACCCTTCCAGAGCTGAGATATCGAAACTAAAAATATCGACCAGAAAAAAAAAAAGACAGTGTTACCCCTTATGTTTTTTTTTTTTGGACGAAAAATTAAGTATCCCCAATCTTCTTGAAACTCTGGATTCTGATACAGGACCATGGGACTTACACCTGAGTGCAAAAATGGAGGCTCTAGACCCTTCCAGAGCTGAGATATCGAAACTCAAAATTTCAACCAGAAAAAAAAACGATAGTGTTACCCCTTACGTTTTTTTTTTGGGGTGCGAAAAAAAAGTTTCCCCAATCTTCTCAAAACTCTGGATTCTGATAGAGGGCCATGAGACTTAGACCTGAGTGCAAAAATGGAGGCTCTAGACCCTTCCAGAGCTGAGATATTGAAACTCAAAATTTCGACCAAAAAAAAAAAACGACAGTGTTACCCCTTACGTTTTTTTTGGGGGGCGAAAAATTAAGTATCCCCAATCTTCTTGAAACTCTGGATTCTGATAGAGTGCCATGAGACTTAGACCTGAGTGCAACAATGGAGGCTCTAGACCCTTCCAGAGCTGAGATTTTGAAACTCAAAATTTCGACCAAAAAAAAAAACGACAGTGTTACCCCTTACGTTTTTTTTTTGGGGGCGAAAAATTACGTTTCCCCAATCTCCTCAAAACTCTGGATTCTGATAGAGGGCCATGAGACGTAGACGTGAGTGCAACAATGGAGGCTCTACACCCTTCCAGAGCTGAGATATCGAAACTCAAAATTTTGACCAGAAAAAAAAACGACAGTGTTACCCCTTACGTTTTTTTTGGGTGCGAAAAAAAGTTTCTCCAATCTTCTTGAAACTCTGGATTCTGATAGAGGGTCATGGGACTTACACCTGAGTGCAAAAATGGAGGCTCTAGACCCTTCCAGAGCTGAGATATTGAAACTCAAAATTTCGACCAGAAAAAAAAACGACAGTGTTACCCCTTACGTTTTTTTTTTTGGTTGAAAAATGAAGTATCCCCAATGTTCTCAAAACTCTGGATTCTGATAGAGGGCCATGAGACTTATACCTGAGTGCAACAATGGAGGCTCTAGACCCTTCCAGAGCTGAGATATTGAAACTCAAAATTTCGACCAGAAAAAAAACGACAGTGTTACCCCTTACGTTTTTTTGGGGTGCGAAAAAAAGTTTCTCCAATCTTCTTGAAACTCTGGATTCTGATAGAGGGCCATGAGACTTAGACCTGAGCGCAAAAATGGAGGCTCTAGACCCTTCCAGAGCTGAGATATCGAAACTCAAAATTTCGACCAGAAAAAAAAACGACAGTGTTACCCCTTACGTTTTTTTTTTTTGGGTGCGAAAAAAAAGTTTCTCCAATCTTCTTGAAACTCTGGATTCTGATAGAGGGCCATGGGACTTACACCTGAGTGAAAAAATGGAGGCTCTAGACCCTTCCAGAGCTGAGATATCGAAACTAAAAATATCGACCAGAAAAAAAAAAAGACAGTGTTACCCCTTATGTTTTTTTTTTTGGACGAAAAATTAAGTATCCCCAATCTTCTTGAAACTCTGGATTCTGATACAGGGCCATGGGACTTACACCTGAGTGCAAAAATGGAGGCTCTAGACCCTTCCAGAGCTGGGATATCGAAACTCAAAATTTCGACCAGAAAAAAAAAACGACAGTGTTACCCCTTACGTTTTTTTTTGGGGTGAAAAATGAAGTATCCCCAATGTTCTCAACACTCTGGATTCTGATAGAGGGCCATGAGACTTAGACCTGAGTGCAACAATGGAGGCTCTAGACCCTTCCAGAGCTGAGATATCGAAACTCAAAATTTCGACCAGAAAAAAAAACGACAGTGTTACCCCTTACGTTTTTTTTGGGGGCGAAAAATTAAGTTTCCCCAATCTTCTCAAAACTCTGGATTCTGATAGAGGGCCATGAGACTTAGACCTGAGTGCAACAATGGAGGCTCTAGACCCTTCCAGAGCTGAGATATTGAAACTCAAAATTTTGACCAGAAAAAAAAAACGACAGTGTTACCCCTTACGTTTTTTTTTTTGGGTGCGAAAAAAAAGTTTCTCCAATCTTCTTGAAACTCTGGATTCTGATAGAGGGCCATGGGACTTACACCTGAGTGCAAAAATGGAGGCTCTAGACCCTTCCAGAGCTGAGATATCGAAACTCAAAATTTCAACCAGAAAAAAAAAAACGACAGTGTTACCCCTTACGTTTTTTTTGGGGGGTGAAAAATTAAGTTTCCCCAATCTTCTCAAAACTCTGGATTCTGATAGAGGGCCATGAGACTTAGACCTGAGCGCAAAAATGGAGGCTCTAGACCCTTCCAGAGCTGAGATATCGAAACTCAAAATATCGACCAGAAAAAAAAACCGACAGTGTTACCCCTTTCTTTTTTTTTTTTGGGTGCGAAAAAAAAAAGTTTCTCCAATCTTCATGAAACTCTGGATTCTGATAGAGGGCCATGGGACTTACACCTGAGTGCAAAAATGGAGGCTCTAGACCCTTCCAGAGCTGAGATATTGAAACTCAAAATTTCGACCAGAAAAAAAAAAACGACAGTGGTACCCCTTACGTTTTTTTTTTTTTGGGCGAAAAATTAAGTTTCTCTAATCTTCCCAAAACTCTGGATTCTGATAGAGGGCCATGAGACGTAGACCTGAGTGCAAAAATGGAGGCTCTACACCCTTCCAGAGCTGAGATATTGAGATCCCACGTAGCATTTATCCCACTATAAATATCTCAATATGGGTCTGAATGGGTTAAGCAGACCACAAACCATCGACACAGATTAGACTCTCTCTCTCTCTCTCTCATTCTCTCTGACTCAACACAACTGTAACCTCTTCTACAGCCGATAAATCATGCTGAAGGTGTGTGTTTCTGTTTCCTCGCCCTGATAAATCAAAATGAATTCTGGAAATGCAGCACTCTATATAAACATGTAAATTACACTCTGAATTAATCACCGTCTAGTCTAATGTGTGTGTGAGAGAGAGACAGTGAGAGAGCATCGTCCCCGGCGGTTGCAGACTCCTGGCGGCTCATCACGTCACATATACAACACACTCTACAGTATCACACACACACACACACACACACACACAACAGTTCTGACAGTTTTTCTTGCAATTCTGTGAATAAAAGTCTGAATTCTGAGGTAAAAAGTTCCATGTAAATTGCACTTAAATTGTTAGATGAAAACTTGCAATTGTAAGAAAAAAAATCTGCATTGTGTGATTTCAGAATTCCAAGAAAAAAATATCTGAATTTTCAAAATGTAAACTCACAATTTTGAGAAAAAAACAAAACAAACAAACAAAACAGAATTTCTAGATGTCAACAATATTCTGAAATTCACAATATTCTGAAAAAAAGTCACAATTACTTTTTTTTTATTTTGTGGTGGAAAAAAACCCTGAATTGTGAGATGTAAACTTGTCAGAATTGCCAAATGTAAACTTGTAATTGTAAGAAAAACATCAAAGCTGTCCAAATAAAAACGCATAATTCTGAGGACAAATGTTTGTCTTGTGATAATTTTATTCTGTGGTGGAATGAAGAAAAAACAACACAGAATTGTAAAATATAAATGCAATAGATATAAAGGTGACTTATCTTACAGTTCTATTTATATCCGAGAATTTTAATAATATTTAATGAACTTTGCATTGCCTTTTAAAGTCACTACATTCATAAAATACATTCATTTCAACCAGAATTGCAAGACCTGAAAAACATTAATTAATTAACAAATTAAATTGAGATTTTAATTCCATGTCGATGCAACAGAAGAATTGCAGGTGCGTTTGAAAAAACGTTTATTGAAATACACACATTCTTTGATTGACATCATGCTTTTGCAGAACGTATAACAGACAGAAACACACACTGGGATCATGCGGGAGTGAATGAAATGAACACACACGCTTTGAGAATTACAGCAGCTTCAGACTCTATTATCACCTCATTGACCCACAGAGATCTGATCCAGGACACCAAACCCAATTAAAAACATGACAGAAAGCACAGTGTCATCTTCTCAAGATCACTGGAAAAACAAATCATGAGCTTATGAAACCACCGTGGAAGGATCATCGTAACGCCTGCCGTCTATAATTGGAAACAATCATTATTTTTGCAATCTCACTTGTTGCCACTTTCATTTTTTTCGAAGAACTGAAACGAACGCTGTTCTCACTCAGTGTTTCTGTCTTGTTTCCAGTCCAAATATCTAAAGATTCTTAAATCGAGATGCACTGACTAGACGAGTGAAATGCCATAAGATATCACGGGATTGACTGCAGTGTGAATGCGGGAGCTTTTCGGATGAGCTTTGATAGATTGTTTTAGTGTGGCAGCAGCACGAGTCGTGTGTGTGTGTGTGTGTTTGAGTGCACTACTTCTGAACCGCGTCAGTCGATGCCGCCGCAATTAAACAATCAATCAAAATTCATCCGAAAAGCTCCCGCGTTCACACTGCAGTCAATCCAGAGTCACTCCTCTTCACTCTTCACGTGACAAACGAATATTCATTAAATATATATGATTTTTTAACACCTGGTTGATTTGCGTCTGAATTTGTCAGATTTCTGTGCAAATGTTCAACTATTGAGTGTTCATCGCCTGTTTTCAGATCAGTTGTAGACATTAGAACCTTTACAAGAAAGTACTAAAAATGTACAGTATATTACACATTATTTAAACATTTATTGTGATAAATCGCATTCTTACTATGTAAATATGATGGCATATGGTAATAATTTAGCACCATGGCGTATATTGAAGTATTGCAGTACCATGGTATATTAGTGGAAACACTTTTCTTGAAGCCTTAACATAGAAAGTATTTTTAATGCATTCATTATCCCTTGTAAATGCGCCTTATAATGAATTGTATGATTTCACTAATAATTGTGACCACAGTTATAATACTTTATAAAAGCAAAAAAAAAAATATTTTAATTAAAATATCTTAACATTCTTAAATCAAGATCCAGAAAGCAAAACAACTTAAGATATGAAGTCTTGTCTTCTGAAAACTTGATCAACTTTTAGTGAATTAAAAAAAAAACAAGGAAACAATATCAGCATTTTTTGCAGTGAACTACTTTTTTTCCAGAAGGTAAAACTGAATATATAAACACAGTTTAAATGTTTTTCTGTAACTTTAGCAGTCGTGCACTGATGTAATGCTGAGTGAGCGGCATACGCAGAAGAACACCGCAAAACATGCTTTCTTACTCTGTTTCCAGTTCTAATATTAAAACTTCTCAGTTAAATCAAGATGCATTTACTAAAGTAATAAAATGCCATAAGATATTATGCCTTGTTTTTCTGAGGAAATAAATCAAAATTAAGTGAGTTTTTGCTTAAAACAAGCTAAATTATCTGCCAATGGAGTTAGAAAAATAATCTTTCTGTTTGAGTTATATCATTTGCAGATCATGTTGCTTGTTTTATACGGAAGCGTATTGCATTCACTTGAAGAAATAAAATCTGTTTTTCTGAATTAACGAGTTCATCAGAATTACAAGATAATTTTTCATGGAAAAAAAGTTTTGCTGTGTTTTTCTGAATTAATGACTTGATTATCTAAAAAGCTCATTAATTCCTAAAAAAAAAATTCAAGAAAAATACATCTCATAACTGTGAGTTAATTAACTCTTTAATTCAGAAAAACAGCAAAGACTTTTACATGAAAAATTATCTGAGATAATAAACTTGTTCATTCAGAAAAGTAGATGGTAGAACAAGACTTAATATCTTATGGGATTTTACTACACAGTAAATGCATCTTAAATTACAAATTTTTAGATATTTGGTCTGGAAACAACACAATAACACTGAGTAGAAAAGCATTTTGCAGTGTGTGCAGCTCACATCGGACATACTTTGTTCTCCGGAATGGGGATGTGTGCGAGCGATCTCCGTTCTCCGGGATGCTCCTGTGATTTCTCCGGGATGGATCCGTGTTTGGGGATTCGCGAGGCGATGGTGGACATCTCTCCGGTCTGGCTCTCGTTGGTCATGCCTTGGCGTTCGCTGCTCTGGATGGCGTTTCCCTCGATGAGAGAGCCGTCTCTGCATCTCAGGAGCTGAACCAGACACTTCCTGAACTGGGGAAACACAGGCGACAGTCACGGCGGATCCTCCATCCATCACACAGTTCAGTTTCCCATTAATAAAGTGAGAAGATACAGTGAAAAACAAAATTCACATGTATATATGAAATATTAAGCTCAAATCTTTCCAAAACATTGCCACAGCTTGCCAGGATCAATTCTGTGAGTATTTTATAAGACACGTCCTTCATTTTGTTATAAACACAATTCCCATGCTTTGACCCAAGAGATATCACCAAATATAGAAGAGCGAATCTTACAGAACAAAAAGCATCTCTTATATCATATCGCTACCTCTTTGTTTATCTGGTGATTGAACGTTTTGTAGAAATTCAGAATATGATAACAAATATCTAACCAACTGTATTATAATCCCTTCACTGAACCAAGTTATAATTAGAATAGTGATTTGTTTAGAAGAACTCCCTCTTGCAGCATCTCTTCTCTTCTCATGTGGGCGGGGCTATAACCTGTCACTCACAGGAGATCAGCCAATAGCAAACCACAACCATCCAATCAATTCCCCACAGACAGTCAAGCCCCGCCCCGTTTCACTCGATATCTGACACCGTAGAGGAGAAAAACTAGCGAAACTGCCAAACATTTTAGCTCATCTGAGCTAGAAAACATTCTTGCAATTAATTTGACCTGCACTGAAAAACACCAAAACTCAAGATTAGCGTTAAACGTAGCTGAATTTTTCCTAAAGGGAATGTGTTTTTGGTCCCAATTGTAAGACGCTTGACTACGGTCAGATTTTAACTAACAGATCAATTGACCATTTAACATGATGATGTAATGTGTGTCGCATCACAGCTCGAGCAATCATGGTTAAAGTATAGAAATGTGTATTTTGTTGTAAATGTCAGATCAGACTCTTATTCCTCGGCTGGATCGCGTCTAGACTTTGAAGCTGCACTGAAACTCACATCTGACCTTCGACCCGTTGGACCCCATTGAAGTCACTGGAGAACAATCCTGGAGTGTGTTCAGTGCTCAGAGAAGTTCATCCGGCACTAAACGAGCGCTGACATCGAGCGCTTCACTTCTGACGGCTGAAACTGCAACACGCGCTACAATTAGTCAATCATGATGAGGTCATCACTGCAGTGATCATTAGTTGTTTCCACATTAGCCAGCGGCTCACATCGCCCCTCTCATTAGTTCTAGTCATTAAACTACAGAGTCCGATAGACACTAATTAGTTTGTGACCTAAAGTCCCGTAGTGTCTCTTCAATCCTAAGAATGAAGCTTCGGTGTTTGTTTAGATGGGACACATCATGTCTGAAAGTTCAAACTCTGAATTTTATCATGCAATAATTCACTAAAAATTAGTGAATCGATAAAAAAATCTGAATTTTATCATGCAATAATTCACTAAAAATGAGTGAATCAAGAAAAAAAATCTGAATTTTATCATGCAATAATTCACTAAAAATGACGGAATCAATAAAAAAATCTGAATTTTATCATGCAATAATTCACTTCAAATGAGTGAATCAATAAAAAATCTGAATTTTATTATGCAATAATTCACTTAAAATGAGTGAATCAGTAAAAGAAACCTTAATTTTATTATGTAGTAATTCACTAAAAATTAGTGAATCAATAAAAAAAATCTGATTTTTTTCATGCAATAATTCACTAAAAATGAGTGAATCAATAAAAAAATCTGAATTTTATCATGCAATAATTCACTAAAATTAGTGAATCAGTTAAAAAAATCTGAATTTTACCATGCAATAATTCACTAAAAATGACTGAATCAATAAAAAAATCTGAATTTTATTATGCAATAATTCACTTAAAATGAGTGAATCAGTAAAAGAAACCTTAATTTTATTATGTAGTAATTCACTAAAAATTAGTGAATCAATAAAAAAATCTGATTTTTTATCATGCAATAATTCACTTCAAATGAGTGAATCAATAAAAACTCTGAATTTTATTATGCAATAATTCACTTAAAATGAGTGAATCAGTAAAAGAAACCTTAATTTTATTATGTAGTAATTCACTAAAAATTAGTGAATCAATAAAAAAAATGAATTTTATCATGCAATAATTCACTAAAAATGAGTGAATCAGTAAAAGAAATCTTAATTTTATCATGCAACAATTCACTAAAAATGAGTGAATCAATAAAAAAATCTGAATTTTATCATGCAATAATTCACTAAAATTAGTGAATCAGTTAAAAAAAATCTGAATTTTATCATGCAATAATTCACTAAAAATTAAATAAAATAAATAAAAATAAGCATAGTTTGGTTCATTTTGAACTATATTTTCCAGAAAACGACTTGATTTGTTAATTTGGTTCTCAATTAAATACATCTTGATGTGAGAATGTTTAGATATTTATTTGTGAAAACAAGACAAAAAAAAATCACTGAGGAAGAAACAAGTTTTCTCACCGTGAGCATTTGAACATTTCTAGACTCTGTCAGTTACTAATTACTCATGGACATTTCTGATATTTAGCGGTGTAACGATACATCGAGTCACAATATAACGACAATATATTGTGCATATTCACCAAAAATAATTATTGTGAGAAAAAAAATGCAAGTTTATAGATTTTTAGTGTGAGTAAAAGTGACCAACATTGTTTTAAATAAACGTCAGTGACAGTGAAAGCATCTTCGTCTGAAATAATTCTGTTTTCAGCTTCAGAACCATGAATATTGTTATTCTGGTGTCTCTATAGTCCTGTGCTTTGGGTTATCAACACCAACATCGTGACATGAGAGTATCGTACACCCGTACTAATATTGCATTCTTAAAAGATATCTATTTATTAACCTAAATCTATTCCAATCGATTTTTTAACCCGTTGACGACCTGAATCAAACTGATGGATCAAATCATATTCATCTGATGATTGACAATGTAATTAATCGGTCACTGAGACAAAAGCCAAAGCAACGTTGTGTTTTCGTGCTCTTCTTTCTGCAGTTTCTGAGTAGGACACTCTTTACATGGAGTGTGTGTCAGTGTGTAAACGGACAGGAGATGATGGAGAGATGTGGCGCTGCCCAACACTGTTTATGTCTATGCTCAATAATTCAGCAGCTTCTGCTTTGGAGAGCACCGGTTTGATCCACACTGCAGGTGTTTATTTATTTATTTCTATTTCAGTAATAGAAGTCAAATGTGTCAGCTCTAGTGAAGCCATGACAGCTTCAGGATATTTCCAAATCCATAAACTCTGTCCTGAGCATGTCTATATGGGCAAGCAACTCTATTCACACTACTCTTTTCTAACACTCTATTCACACACACCACTCTATTGTACTCTATTCACAAGCAACTCTATTCATACTCTATTCACACAACTCTATTCTCACACTCTACTCTATTCACACACTCTACTACTCTATTTTCACACACTACTCTATTCACACTCTACTCTATTCACACTCTATGCATACACTCTATTCTATTTTCAATCGATGAAAGTAAGCGTCTGGCTTGTGTGAGGACTTATTTCTGTCCGGCGACTCCTTCAAGGTCTCTCAGCTTCTGTAACCTATTTACTTGTAACTGGGGCGCAGGAACGTTTCCCGCCGTGCCTTGAGATCCTCCTGCAGTATTATGCTTAAAATCAAAACTGAAGTACAAGCATCCTCACAAAATCACAGTTTAGCCAAGCACACTTGCAACGGCATCCGTCTTGATATAACACTCGGTTAAAATCCAGTCACGTCTATTTCTGTAGCGCTTTATATGATACAGTAAAACTACAACTAAAGACGTTTCTGTTCATTTAAATAAAATTAAATATAAATATTAGTCTAAAGAATGTAATTACATAATGACTAGAAATGCCTTGGCAAAAAAAAAAAAGGAAATAAGTTAATGTTGAAGCACTAAAATTAACTAAAACTATAATAAAAATAAATTAAACCTAAAGCAACCATTAAAAAAAAAAAACGAATAAAATGTCAAAAGTGCCGATATATTCCTAAAAATGTAACTAAAATAAACAAAAATTAAAAATGTAAAAGCAAATTTAAAATATTAATAGAACCATTATACAGCTAAAATAAAAACTAAAATTAGTTTAAAACTATTATGAAACAAATTCAGTTTCAGATAATAAAGCAGCTCTACAGAAGACAGATTCAGTCAGTTCAGTTCAATAACGCAAAGTTTTATATTACATTTAAATTGCATTAATGTTTTTACATTTACATTATTCAGCTCAGTTCAGTTCTCGTTCTGTTCTCATCTGATGTTAAGTGCAAATAACTCAATAACACTAGTACACATTAATTGTTTTAAAAAAAGTTTTCTAATATTATAATTAGCTCATTTAAGTGTATAATTGTGTTTTTCTGTCTGAATAGCATATTGATTGTAAATGCTTGAAACCCTGAAAATGCACAAAAAATATCGAATGTTGATGTAATATCACCGGAAATCAACATTAAAGTCATTCAAATGCAGATTTACACCGTCTGTCTGTTGTTCAGTATTGGATTATAAGCTTCTCTTATGATCAAAAGATCAAGTTTAATTCTTCAGACGTTTGAACTGTTTGTTAAATGATGTATTTATGTATAGAGCTTTGAGAAAGATGAAGCTTTAAAAAAAGCTTCGAGCTGCATTTTACTTGTCATTTATTGATGATACATTTATTATTCATGATGAAACTGCCAACGAACTACAGCAGTCAGAGTGTGTGTGTGTGTGTGTGGGTGTGTGTGTCAGTCCTGATGTGTTAATAACACATGATGATGAAGATGTATCTTCCCGAAAACTAGAAAACTAAACCTGATATTCAGAAGTTGCAGGTTTGATTCGTCTCCTTCAAGCTCATGATCCGGTTCGTTTATGACAATGGCTTCAATCTCCTTTAAACTCAAGAACTAACAAACATTCTCAAGATTTTAACTGATACTTTCAGCTCAAGTTTTTGATATATAGTACTCATATAGTGAGAATATGGAGAGAACAAAAACACTCAATTTCATTCAAAGACTCAAACTGAGCAAAGATGCAGATGCTGATATTCACATTCACAAAACATGATGAAATTCTGATGCTAGTAATGTTAATAACTGAGATCTTTACAACAGTATTTAAAATACTTACATAAAATGATATAAATATCAATATTATGTGCCAATGATATATCTGTATTTAAATTATTGCTGTGCAATGATGATTCACATCCTAAATGAAAGTTTGTGTTTCCCTAATATATGTGTGTCCTGTGTATAATTATTTTGTATAAAAATACATACTACATGCAAATGTTACTTTAATATATATATATATATATATATATTATGCATATGTGTGTATTTATTTATACAAAATAATTAAACAGTGCACACACATATATTATGTAGAATATATATATGCACATTTATGAGAAAAATAATAGTTACCCATTTGAATTAAGATTTTTTTTCTTACCCCGTTGGCAGATACTTTTGTTTATTTTAAGGAAAATCTTTAATAAAAAAAACAATTTTTTAAAAATTATATATATATGATACACTATATATATATCTGGACAGACACAGTGAGTGAGATGCATGAGTAAATCACCTGTTTGTTCATGAACACATAGATGATCGGGTTGTAGACGGCGGCTGTTTTGGAGAAGAAGGCGGGAACGGCTGCCAGCCGCGGGTCCAGGTGGATTCTGGGATGAGCCGTGACCACGATGGAGAACGCGGCGTACGGAGTCCAGGCCACCATGAAGGCCACGATCATCACCACCACCATACGGGTCACCTGACGCTCGGGTTTCCTAGCGTTACCCAGCCGGCCGTGCGTGTTGGACACCTGCAAACACACGCAATGTGACCAAAATGACCAAATCAATAATTTTATCAAACAATAGTGTCATTTTTTTGCGGAATTCAATTGAATAACTGTCGATGCTGCAGAAAGTCAATAGTGTCATTATTCGGTTCAATTTAGTTCATGTATTCAAGTTCTCATCCAATGGTGTCAGTGCAGTGAATCAATAATATCACTGAGAATCATATATTAAGTGTCTTTAAAAAACAAAAATACATGGAAATATATATGTTTTTTAACAAAAATATATTCTAAGAACGTTTTGCCGAGCGTTCTCATTGAGTTTTAAATTTTTGAATGTTTCCCGAATGCTCAAAAGTCCACAATGTTTTCTTTTGGTTATGAGAACGTTAACGGAACGCTTCGTTGTATCATTCTTCAAACATTCTTCTCAGAACATTCCTCAAGTGGTTACATTTAAAACATGTCCAACAGAAAAACACTCCATGACTGATGTAGAAACAATGCTTTTTGTTATTTGAGCATTTTTAAAGACCAGATAACTAATGTCCTGTTAATGTTAATGGAAGAACGTTTGTTCATAACGTTGCTAGAATAGCATTACTGTGTTCTGGAATCAGGTAATCAGACTCAGATGAGTTATGGTTTTCTGTGTCAGTTTGTTGTAATGATAGTTTGTTGGGAATCTCACGGATGTTGTGGAGCGACTGACCTTTCTCAGCTTCCGGATCAGTTTGCAGTAACAGACGACGATCACTCCCAGCGGAAGAATGAAGCAGGTGATGAAGAACGTGATGATGAAGGTGTGGTCGTGGAAGTTTCCCGAATACCTGCGGGGGGACACAAGCAAAACATCTGACGAAGATTTATTATATACAGGGTCACATTTTTATATATATATATAAATGTAGTGTTTAACTTTTGTCCTGGAAACAGATTTGAGGTGATTTTATGTGTTTTCGCCCCAATGTGTTGCCAATCTGAAGTGTTATTTACGGATAAATGTTTCCGCTATGGAATCAAAAAATAAAACACAATTGTGACCTTTTTTCCTCTTCTCACAATTAACAATTTTCGCAATTGCAATTAAAGTCGGAATTGCAATTCTGAGATATAAAGTCCAAAGTGTGAGATATAATTATTTTCAAAATAAAATACTTTTTACTCGGCGTTGCAAGTTTCTCACAATTTCGAATTTTTTATTTTACGATTTTTAACATTTGCAAGAAAAAGCCAGAATTTCAAGTTTGTAGTTTTTTTCTTAATAATTACAAAATTAAGAATTGTACATCTGACTTTATTTCTCAAAAATCTGAGATATAAACTTGCAATTGCAAGTAATTTAAACATTTATCACATTAATAACTCATGCACATTTGTTAGAAAACATAAAGCTTTTTTCACAAAAAATAACTTTTTATGGTAATGCATCTCATTTATAATATCTCTGAAAGGATATTGTGTCTGATGTAATGTTTGTATTTTTGACCAGTACAATAAAACGGCCCAAACTCTGGATATGTATTTTCTTCATATAGCCTATTTCTTAGTCTCTGGTTTGTCAGACTGACTAAAGCACACGATGAGTGTCAACGCTAAAGTGGAGTATGAATAAGAAAACCTGGTGTGTATTTTATATGGCCAGAAAAATGAATTAAAATGAATTAGCATGTCATAAAAATGCTGACATACTTGGATAAAAGGACTAATTAGTACAGAAGAGACAATAAATCTGATGGTTAATTATCCTGCTGGTTTAGGCTTTAATGGATGAAGCTTGTCAAACTTTCACCCAAGAGAGCTTTTCCTCTTCATTTAACTGGTATATTGTGGAATCCCTAGTTGGAAAATGAAACGTTTTTAGATCATTTTAGAAGATGTGCATATGAAGAATCCTCAGAGATTGAATCTGAAACAAGCTTGAAAGATTTTAAAGAGATTCTGCGCACACACACAATTATAAAAAATAATAATGACCCGATAAAGTCCCGTCCACACAGTAGACGGATGATGAGACTGAAACACCAGCAGTTTAGGAACTGTCTACATAAAAGGCTGTTGGTGAAAGCAGCAAATATTGATGATTGAGACTTACAACAAACACTTTCTTCTGCAACACATTACAACCTTTTACAGTCTATGGTTACAACAAGCTTCCATTTGTCCATTTATTAATATTGCTTAAAGGGATAGTTCACTGATATGTTTCAGCTTACCTCAAGGGATGTAGGTGTCTTTGTTTCCACAGTATTTTCAATTTTGATATTTTTAGGTCAAACCGTTCTTTTCTGTCAGTCATACAATGCAGGTCTATGGTCACCACCTCAAAGAGCATGCACAGAGAAGTCCAGATTAAACATGATTTAATGACTCGTAAACGTAATTACACATTGATTGCCTAAGACATGAAACGAGCGGTTTGTGTGAGAAAACCAACAGTATTTATATTGTTTTTACCTCTTGTAGTGCAACCACAGCCACGTCCAAGTGATCTGAGGGTGCGGATGCTTCGGTCTCGCATGCGCCGGAAGTGATCTAAATATGGTTGTGACAAAAATTCAACATTGTCTGTTTATATATAGAAATCGTCTTCCATTGCGATTTCCTGTATATCTAAATATGTTTAGATCTTCACATTGAAGGATATCACTTCTGAAATCTGTGTAAACAATGAGTGACGTAGACGCGCTAGAGATCACTTCTGCCACTTTCTGGCGCTTGCGCATTCTAGCGAAGCGTCCGCGCCCTCAGATCACTTGGATGTTGCTGTGGTTACAAGAGGTAAAAACGATATAAATACTGTTGGTTTTCTCACACAAACCGCTCGTTTCGTGTCTTAGGCCATCAATGTGTTCTTACATTTACGAGTCATTAAATCATGTTTAATCTGGACTTCTCTGTGCATGCTCTTTGAGGTGGTGACCATTGACCTCCATTATATGACTGATACGGTTTGATCTAAAAATGTCAAAATGGAAAATACTGTGGAAACAAAGACACCTACATCTTAGATGCTCTTGAGGTAAGCTGAAACATATCAAAAATTAATTTCAAAGTAAATTTCACACACACAAATATACATTTCTGATATGTAAGTGTGCTATTAGGGTATGGTGGCCGATATATTGTGCTTCAGCCTGATATTTACAGATGCAATGTTTGCCTTTAAATATGTTTTAATAAAGTATTTTTGGGTTTGTAGAACCCTATTGTATTTCCTTTTTTCAGCTGTTTAATGTGCGCTATCACCAGTTCGATAGTCCCGCAGTGTGATAAATGGTGTTTGGGTCCTCACCAGTTGGGTTCGCAGGTGGTGCCGATCTTGCTGACGGTGTAACTGCTCCAGCCCAGCACCGGTGGGATGGTCCAGATGAAGGAGAAGGTCCACACGAACAGCAGACCCAGAGCCGCGTGTTTGCCCTGCAAGCGGATGTTCCCCATGGGGCGACAGATCACGAAGAAGCGCTCGAACGCCAGGACGGCCAGAGACCACAGCGCCACGATACCTGGAGGATCAGTCAGACTGATGAACGTTTTGAGAACACAGAGATGCAATTTTATGAGATCAGGCTGATAAAACTGTGTGTAGAATCCTTTCTAAAAGTGTACGTTCGCCCGAAATCCAAAAAAAGTTATGAAAGCGTGTGTATGCCAGAAACTGCGTGAATTCAACTTTATAATCCCAGTCAGAGGAAGATTGTATTCACTTGCGTCTCCTCCCCGAAATAATCATATATGAATTTACAATGCCTCGTTTTACTACGCATATCCACATCTGCATATCATTGGCATACATATTTATGCGGACGAGGCTCTGGACCCTGGGCGATCGATGCGGGACGAGGCACTGGACCCTGGACGATCTGGGCGGGACGAGGCACTGGACCCTGGGCGATCTGGGCGGGACGAGGCTCTGGACCCTGGGCGATCTGGCCGGGGACGAGGTTCTGGACCCTGGGCGATCTGGGCGGGACGAGGCTCTGGACCCTGGGCGATCTGGCCGGGACGAGGTTCTGGACCCTGGGCGATCTGGGCGGGACGAGGCTCTGGGCCCTGGGCGATCTGGCCGGGACGAGGCTCTGGACCCTGGGTGATCTGGGCGGGACGAGGTTCTGGGCCCTGGGCGATCTGGGCGGGACGAGGCTCTGGACCCTGGGTGATCTGGGCGGGATGAGGCTCTGGACCCTGGGCGATCTGGGCGGGACGAGGCTCTGGGCCCTGGGCGATCTGACCGGGACGAGGTTCTGGGCCCTGGGTGATCTGGGCGGGACGAGGCTCTGGACCCTGGGCGGTCGATGCGGGACGAGGCTCTGGACCCTGGGCGATCTGGCCAGGACGAGGCTCTGGACCCTGGGCGATCTGGGCGGGACGAGGCTCTGGACCCTGGGCTATCTGGGCGGGACGAGGCTCTGGACCCTGGGCGATCTGGGCGGGACGAGGCTCTGGACCCTGGGTGATCTGGGCGGGACGAGGTTCTGGGCCCTGGGCGATCTGGGCGGGACGAGGCTCTGGACCCTGGGTGATCTGGGCGGGACGAGGTTCTGGGCCCTGGGCGATCTGGCCGGGACGAGGTTCTGGGCCCTGGCTGATCTGGGCGGGGACGAGGCTCTGGACCCTGGGCGATCTGGGCGGGATGAGGCTCTGGGCCCTGGCTGATCTGGGCGGGACGAGGCTCTGGACCCTGGGCGATCTGGGCGCGACGAGGCTCTGGACCCTGGGCGATCTGGCCGGGACGAGGTTCTGGGCCCTGGCTGATCTGGGCGGGACGAGGCTCTGGACCCTGGGCGATCTGGGCGCGACGAGGCTCTGGACCCTGGGCGATCTGGCCGGGACGAGGTTCTGGACCCTGGGCGATCTGGGCGGGACGAGGCTCTGGGCCCTGGGCGATCTGGCCGGGACGAGGCTCTGGACCCTGGGTGATCTGGGCGGGATGAGGCTCTGGCCCTGGGCGATCTGGCCGGGACGAGGTTCTGGGCCCTGGCTGATCTGGGCGGGACGAGGCTCTGGACCCTGGGCGATCTGGGCGGGACGAGGCTCTGGGCCCTGGGCGATCTGGCCGGGACGAGGTTCTGGACCCTGGGCGATCTGGGCGGGACGAGGCTCTGGGCCCTGGGCGATCTGGGCGGGACGAGGCTCTGGACCCTGGGTGATCTGGGCGGGACGAGGTTCTGGGCCCTGGGCGATCTGGGCGGGACGAGGCTCTGGACCCTGGGTGATCTGGGCGGGACGAGGCTCTGGACCCTGGGTGATCTGGGCGGGACGAGGCTCTGGACCCTGGGTGATCTGGGCGGGACGAGGCTCTGGACCCTGGGTGATCTGGGCGGGACGAGGCTCTGGACCCTGGGCGATCTGGGCGGGACGAGGCTCTGGGCCCTGGGTGATCTGGGCGGGACGAGGCTCTGGACCCTGGGCGATCTGGGCGGGACGAGGCTCTGGACCCTGGGTGATCTGGGCGGGACGAGGCTCTGGACCCTGGGCGATCTGGGCGGGACGAGGCTCTGGACCCTGGGCGGTCTGGGCGGGACGAGGCTCTGGACCCTGGGCGATCTGGGCGGGACGAGGCTCTGGGCCCTGGGTGATCTGGCCGGGACGAGGCTCTGGGCCCTGGGCGATCTGGGCGGGACGAGGCTCTGGACCCTGGGCGATCTGGGCGGACGAGGCTCTGGGCCCTGGGTGATCTGGGCGGGACGAGGCTCTGGACCCTGGGCGATCTGGGCGGGACGAGGCTCTGGGCCCTGGGTGATCTGGGCGGGACGAGGCTCTGGACCCTGGGCGATCTGGGCGGGACGAGGCTCTGGACCCTGGCGATCTGGGCGGGACGAGGCTCTGGACCCTGGGCGATCTGGGCGGGACGAGGCTCTGGACCCTGGGCGATCTGGGCGGGACGAGGCTCTGGACCCTGGGCGATCTGGGCGGGACGAGGCTCTGGGCCCTGGGTGATCTGGCCGGGACGAGGCTCTGGACCCTGGGTGATCTGGGCGGGACGAGGCTCTGGACCCTGGGCGATCTGGCCGGGACGAGGCTCTGGACCCTGGGTGATCTGGGCGGGACGAGGCTCTGGACCCTGGGCGATCTGGGCGGGACGAGGCTCTGGGCCCTGGGTGATCTGGCCGGGACGAGGCTCTGGACCCTGGGTGATCTGGGCGGGACGAGGCTCTGGACCCTGGGTGATCTGGGCGGGACGAGGCTCTGGACCCTAGGCGATCTGGGCGGGACGAGGCTCAGCGAGATGAAAAAAGGCCTCAGTGTCCTCAAACAGATCGAGGCTACCCAGCGCCTTCGCCGCGATCTGTTCAATGAATTTTAAACTCATTTTTTAGGTCCGTTCTTCTGTAAGGGATCATGTAGTGGTGGCAGGAAGCATGAGGTAATGAGGAGTCACAGGAAACAGGAATATTTAACAAAGACACTCAGGAACCACATCACCCGCAGTACAGCGACGAGAATGGACACTGAATAAAGGAGAACACAGGTATACATGCTTGGGATAACAAAGGAAGATAATGGGGACACAGGTGAGAGACATGAACATTGGGAACAGGTGAATTAACTGAGGGATGACGAAGAGCGGGAAAACTGTAAACAGGACTGAACCAAACACACTAGGAAGGGGAAACCAAGGAAAACAGACTCGAGACAAAACATAATCCGGACATAAACACTGAACAGAATTCATCAGAATAATGGCACTATTGTCTTCATTAGAGCTGCTTCATAATCGGAAATTGAATTTGTTTTGTAATTGAACTTTGGACAGATATTGAAGTAAATTGAATAAACATTGAACAGAATTCATCAGAATAATGACACTATTGTCCTCATTAGAGCTGCCTTAGAGGCTGAAATTGACTGTTTTAGAGTTGATGAACTGGACAGATATTGAACTAAATTGAATAAACATTGAACAGGATTCATCTGAATAACGACACTATTGTCTTCATTAGAGCTGTAATTTAAGTCAATTTATAATTCAGGCAACAGTTTCATTTTCCAGTGAAGTGGCATTGAAAGCATCTCTATTGTATAAAGCGCTATAGAAATAACGCTGACTTGACAGTGATGCATTAGAGAGTAAAAAACCTTTCTGAAGACGACGTGCAACTCTTATAACTCAAATTGGACTCATGCATTGAAATCGAAACACTTTAATTCTCACTCACTGAGTTGGTCATCTTGTAGAGATCGTCTGAAACCACAGAATGTCCATTTCTTTTATGACTAATTTGTGTTGGGTCATTTATTTTTATAGATATTGTTCATATTTTAAGTGCACACAAAATTTAATTTATCTCAATATCTGAGACAAGAAAAGTGTCGATTCAGAACATTAAATCTGCTTCATGCTAAATAATAACTTGCAATAAAATAAAGTATGAACGTGATGGGTTTTTTAGTCATTATTGCTAACTTCAGTGATTGAGCTTCTTATGACCAGATGTTAGATAACTGAGAACACTTTGTTGGACTGAACCGTCAGCAAGTTGATCATAATAATTGACTATAATTGCACTGAAGATACCAAACATCTGCAGACTGACATTAACAAATCATGACATTAATAAAACTTCACAATATTTTGACAGCATCATGTACAAACAACAGTTGCTCAATGAACAGAGAAAACAGACGGGACCCTTTAACCTCCGTGTGTCACTAAACAGACTGTAGAAACTCATTTCTGTGTGGTTATCAAAACAGAAACATTGTGGGTGTAAGAAGAAGGTTAGTGAATGGTAAATACTGACACCTGCAGTTCTCAAACAGACCTGAGACCAGCAGATGTCCATCTGGATTATTATTTACATGCATTTAAGATGCTTTTTATTATTATTATATTTCAGTATGGTTCTAAGATTGACTAGGCTCAGATACTTTTAAATAATGTCCATCTAATTTTCTATCATTGATTTGATCATTAGTTTTAGAGTTGAAACAATAGTGTTAAAGAAATAAAGCGGACTTAGTTTCAGCTTTTCTTGAACATCACTAAACATGGCAGGCTGTTTTAAAATGCTAAATCAGAAATGGGATTTCTACTAGTGAAAATGGCATTTTTTGATATGAAAAATGCTATTTCTTGATGGTAGTATTTTAAATGTCACTATAGGTTGCCATTCAGATTCAAATGCTGATATCAAGAACTCAATTTTCACTAGTTGAAATGTTAATTATTGACTTTGATGTAAATTAATTTCAGCATGCTGTTATTTGTGATATCTAAAATCTATTTCTGATGTCAATAATTGGACAGTAATTTCAGATATCTAAAGTGACTTTCTTACCAGTAATAAATACATTCATGATGTCAGAAATGAACATTATCTCTACAATCGAAATATTGATATCAATTTTTTTTCTTGCCTTTTACTAGTAGCAATTCAGTTGCTGAAATCAGACATTTAATTGCACTACTTATATATACATATATATATATATATATATATATATATATATATATACATATATATACATATATATATATATATATATATATATACATATATATATATATATATATATATGTTATTGATATCAACAATTGAATGACAGCCTATGGAGACATTTGGTAATATTATAAGGAAACATGGAATTAGTTTCCATTGTTATGCTGATGACACTCAAATATATATTTCATCACGGCCAGATGAATATGCTAAATTATCCAAATTGACAGATTTTGTTAAAGATATAAAAAATTGGATGACATGTAATTTTCTTTTATTAAATCCAGACAAGACAGAGGTAATACTTATCGGTTCTAAAAACTGTCCACAAAACCTTTCGCAGCACGACTTTAACATATTAGGATGCCCTGTTACTTTATCCACAAGACCTGGGTGTTATATTAGACTGCAATCTGTCTTTTGAAAAGCATATTTCATATGTTACAAAAACAGCCTTTTTCCACCTAAGCTACGTAACATGCTATATCTGTCTCCGATGCACAAAAGTTAGTTCATGCATTCATTACCTCAAGACTAGATTACTGTAATGCTTTATTAGCCGGTTGTCCTGCATCCTCAATAAACAAGCTACAGTTAGTACAAAATGCAGCTGCTAGAGTTCTTACGAGATCAAGAAAATATGATCATATAACACCGATTCTATCATCACTTCATTGGTTAACTATAAAGTTCCGTATTAATTACAAGGTATTGCTTTTGACTTATAAAGCTCTAAATGGTTTAGCTCTTCTTACTCTTTAAGATCACTAAATTCGAGGCTTCTGGTCAGGATATCCAGATCCACCAAAGGAGGGAGAGCATTTTCACATTTAGCCCCGAAGCTCTGGAATAGCCTTCCTGATATTGTTCGTTGCTCAGACTCGCTCTCCCAGTTTAAAACTAGACTAAAGACGCATTTATTTAGCCTGGCATTCATATACAATTTTTTATCTTACAGTTACTGTAAATTTGGCCTCTAGTTCATAAACGCCAGAGGAGAACTGGCCCCCGACTGAGCCTGGGTTCTCCCAAGGTTTTTTTTTTCTCCATTGGGTCATCTGATGGAGTTTTAGGACACCATCGGGTCACTTGATGGAGTTTTTTGGTTCCTTGCCACTGTTGCCTTTGGCTTGCTCAGTTGGGGATATTCAAATTAAATGACCCATCATACCATTGATCAGCTCTACCAAACTTGATCGTCTTTTTTCATGAATAAACAAACACTGTGATGTTATCTTGATTGATGCTGTGAAGCAGCTTTGATACAATCTGTATTGTGAAAAGTGCTGCTGTATAAATATATTTGACTTGACATTTATCGAGTGACAATACAATTACAAATCAAAAATGATCTATGATGAAGTCAAGAATTAGCATTGTTACTAGTCTAGCGCAAAAGTATTTCGTTTAAAAATTGCATTTTAACTAGTGAAAAAGTAAATGCTGATATCAATAATTAATCTCGTGGGAATTAATAAAAGTCTAAACGCTTTGCCTTACATGCACTTTTCATTAATGTGGGCTATAGGCTAACTTACATTAAATACAGCGATGTTGATTTTGTTGAACACTGCGAAACTAAAGGAAAATACAAAACTGAGAACTTTTACTGTGTGTGCAATCTTAACAAGTTAAAACAGATTTGAATTATTCATATAGTTCTCTCTCTCTCTCTCACGCGCGTGTGTGTGTGTGTGTGTGTGTGTGTAGCCTATATCTTTATATATGCGTGTGATTTCTGAACTCCCAGACAAAAGTAATAACATTATGCAGGATGTTTGAAATATGCATTTTAAAAGAAACATCTAAGACCCGAAATAAAACTATAGAACAGCAGCTCAACCCGTCTCTTACCGAAGAATGTGACCGCAAAGCCCTCCAAAACACAAGCCCATTTCCCCAAGAAGAAATACCCGTGATAGTTAGTTAAAAAACTGATAGTCCCCCCGGTCACCGACACGAGGAAGTCCGCCAGGGACAGATTAACGATGATATAGTTGAGAGGTCGTCGGAGTTGAGTAAAGCGAAAGGTGACCAGCATGACGGCGAAGTTCTCGCAGAGAGAAGCCGCGGTCACGATGAACATCAGCGCCGCCAGGACTTTATAGTTCCAGGGCGCGATGAACGTTAGAGGAGCGGAGAACGGGTCTTCTGCGTGGGAAACGCCGTTCACTGCCACCGGGAACGACTCCATCCCGATGAACGAGTCTAAACGAGTCTAAACACACTCCTACATCTGGAGGAAATCCCCGTGCATCGTGAATCCAGCGCGTGCACTGATGGCTCTCATCACTGAGTGTGTGTTACCCGCTGTCCTGAACTTGTTGAGCGAGAGTGCGGTGGGTTTGAGGAGTTCCTCTCGTTGCTGGTGGGGTTTATATAGGAGGCGAGTATCACAGGTCAGGTCAGACCTTCATCCTCGTCATCGTCATCATCACTTCTGCGTTTGACTGGTAAAGAATCACTCACACACACGCCTTTCTCCACAACATGTTTTCATGCACACGCGAGAATCAGAAGATAACCTCATCCATTTTATGATGTTTATATAGGCGAGCTAGCATCACATGTCAGCCCTTCATCATCATCACCACAGGTCAGACTTTCATCATCATCATCATCTTCATCATAACTTCTGCGCGTGTGGACTGTCAAGGATTCGCTCGCTCCGCCGTTCTCTCCTGAAGGTTTTCATGCACACGCGCGTGATATTCAAAATAACTTCATCCATTTGCCTTTAGAAACACACGCGCGCGCGTAACGCAGAGTCGATGCGCGCGCTCCCTCAACTCCAGTCATTGAGCAGGCAAACGCGGCGGGACAGATAAAGGATTTCTTCGATAGTCTTTTATCTGAACTGTATATGCTCCTTCTCCACGGAATAACTGGAGTATGTGTGTGTGTGTGTGTGTTTAGAGAGAGAATCAATACCGGAGCGCGCGCACTGGAACAAGCGCAAGCTTGTCAATACAACGCAAAACACGATGATCATAGAGAATTATGAAAGATGCATCATAATATGACTTTATATAATTAAAACGATTCATGCAGAGTACCATGCGCATAATAAAATATCATATCAAGTTTTGGGTTTAGAAAGGGAAGCCTGTACTGCAGATTGTGTTATATTCATTCGTCAATTTGAAAAATAGGCTACTTCAGGTTGGGTTTATAATCATTTTCTCTATAGGTGCAAATATTAAAATCACTAACATTTGGTCTGAACATTTCATGCACATTGAACCTTCTAGCGGGGCAAGTTGTCACCATACTGTGCTATTATATGCTTTTAAAACAGTTATTTTTTAGTTAATTCAGCATATCATAAATATATAACACAACAATATTGGTCAACAGATAATATCTTTAATGTACAATCTCTGTTGGCCAATGCACATATTAGAAAGCAGATGCAACGAGATGTAAATAAAGTCTAAATCAATGCAACAAAACAGAACAAACAGCAGAACCGTTAGTGTTATTCCTCGAAGTGTGGTCAATGAGTACATGATTCCCTTAGTTATTAGTCATTAATTTAGTGCTTTGGAAAATTAAATCAATTAGCATTTTGAGCAAGGATGGATTTGTTGATCCGATCTCATTTGATTGGCGTACAGTGTCTTTATTCTGATTCTCCGGGCCAAAACATGACATGCTTCCTCAGTTCTTCTGTCCAGTTTTCCATTATTAATATCTACAAATCCATAAATCAAGATACATTTTATACTGGAGAAGCAGAATGACAAGATCACAAGTGTTGTTTCCTGAAAAATGTATTTGACTCCATTGACAGATATTTGTTTCATTCATTTTGCTTCTTCTCTCCAGTAATGCGTCTTGATTTAAGAGTGTTTGGATGTTTGAGCTGGAAAGCAGCAGAAACACGGAGGAGGAGCATCGCTGCTGCTGTGGACGGCTAAAGCTGACGCGTCTCATGGAATATTGGCTTAAAATGGAAGAGGAAACACTTTAGTTTTCCACTTGATTTAAAGTTGAAGGAGTTCGTAATATAAACTTGTGAATGTTTTTTCGTCCTCTGTAGGTTGAGCTGCAGTACAGCTTATAAAGGTTACACTCACACACACACACACACACACACACACACTGAAAACCTGCAAATGAGCCGCAGGTCCGTCACAGGCAATAAATCTTCATCTTTGCAGTGCTGACGGGATTCGTGATCAAAGCAGGACCAGCTGAACCGGCAGAACTGCGATAACCAGCAGAACCGGCAGAACTGGGAGAACCAGCAGAACTGGGAGAACCAGCAGAGCTTGGAGAACCAGCATAACTTGGAGAACCAGCAGAACTGAGAGAACTGGGAGAACCAGCAGAACCGACAGAACTGTGAGAACCAGCAGAACCAACAGAACCGGGAGAAACAGCATAACTGACAGAACCAGGAGAAACAGCAGAACCGGGAGAACTTCGAGAACCAGCAGAACCGACAGGACTGGGAGAAACAGCAGAACCGGGAGAACCAGCAGAACTGGGAGAACCAGCAGAACCAACAGAACTGGGAGAAACAGCAGAACCGGGAAAACCAGCAGAACCAACAGAATCGGGAGAACCAGCAGAACCGACAGAACTGGGAGAACCAGCAGAACTGGGAGAAACAACAGAACCAACAGAACCGACAGAACTGCGAGAACCAGCAGAACCGACAGAACCGGAAGAAACAACAGAACCAGCAGAACCGGGAGAAACAGCAGAACCAACAGATCTTGAAGAAACAGCAGAACCAACAGAACCAACAGAACCAGCAGAACCCACAGAACTGGGAGAAACAGCAGAACCAACAGAACCAACAGAACCAGCAGAACCCACAGAACCGGGAGAAACAGCAGAACCAACAGATCTTGAAGAAACAGCAGAACCAACAGAACCAACAGAACCAGCAGAACCCACAGAACTGGGAGAAACAGCAGAACCAACAGAACCAGCAGAACCGTCAGAACCGACAGAACTGTGAGAACCTGCAGAACCGACAGAACCGGGAGAACTGCGAGAACCAGCAGAACCGGGAGTCTGAGTTTCTGAGAGTCCTTCGGTTCTTCAGTCCTGAAGACTCACTGCTGCGTTTATGAAGCCTGTCAGTGTGAGTGAACAGGAGAAGCTCTTCATGCTGATCTGGGAAAGTGTGTGTTTTTCTGTGGGTGGGAGATGATCCTTAATCAGAGTCTAAAAACTCTGTTTCTGTGTGTGTGTGTGTGTGTGTGTGTGGCACTCTTAGTGAAGGAGCTCAGAGACAAGGTCAACTTTACCACAATCCACTGTACCGAAAAGATCCAGATGGGTTCTCACTCCCACATGAACAACTGCCATAAATCACTTTCCAAACACACCTGACTTAGTTGCAATTAATGAACACACCAAAGCCGTGACAATAATAGAAATTGGCTGCTCTTCTGGTGCATATATGGACACATGCTGTGCTTCAAAACTGCTGAAATACCAACCATGGTACAATGTCCTCAATGACCTTGGCTATTCTTGTAAAGTTATTGCCCTTATTTTTGGTAGTTTAGGCCATGTGCACAAGCAGATTTGCGGACTATAAGAACAAGGCCAAAACACTGAAAGATCTTGTTCTGTACATATGGAGGCGTAGGTCCACCTTCACCCTTAAATGAGCATGATGGACGGAGACACTGGCTGCTGTTCTACACCTTTTTGTCAAATTTGGATAATGCCGTGATATTTGCTTATCTTTTCATTTAAATGAAGAATTGAAATGTGTGCGAGAGAGAGAGAGAGAGTGAGTGCGAGTCTTTAGGGGATCCAGTAAATTGAGGTCTTCATGTTACACATCATGACACATTAAGAGAAGCATTTAAACACAATAATGAGCGAACGAACACGGCCCAGACGCTACAGTCTACAGTGCGCTGACATTTACTGTAACTAGCAGGCGTTCGTAAAGGTTAATCTCTCATTCATGCTATAGTTCATAAAGGCTGCATGACAAAGGCTTGTGATCGACGATAAGGTTTCATCCGTTTCATAAAGAGTGAACTGCATTAATAGGGACCTGGCAGATTTAAAGGGTCTCAGAAGAACCATGAAGTCTTTGTTTCACACACGTTTATAACCTGCTCTCAAATGTCACAGAAACGCTTCCGCCGTCAGACCTGGAGTAATGTACAGTGAGATCCTAATAAACATGAGCAATCGTTTCCAGACGCTCCAGATGGGATTATGAACGCGGTGTGAAACTATATATTCCCTATGGAAGCTTGTGTAGGAATAAAACATTTTTAAAGATAATTGCTACATTTTATCTAACAATTGTGGGTTTATATCACACAATTTTGAGATAAAAAGTCAGAGATAAAGGAGAATTTAAACGCTTATATATATATATATATATATATCTTGACACGATAAGATGCTCATTGCACATGTCAAACGGATCATACGTTGATATTTGTGTCTTTCATGGTCGACTGCATCCGAGTTTGAATAAACCTGAGCCGTACAACCGTCTGCTTTCTTACCTTCCCATGATGCCGAGTTCTGTTGCATGATTCCTGACAGCTGCCATCAGACACCGAGAGAAGAGGAGCTTCATCTCAGATTCAGCGTGTTTCAGCGGACGTGACCTCTTGACCTCTGCGTAACTGCGTGCCGATACTGGATGAGAGTAAATCAATGATTTAATAGACTGCCGACAAGTTTATACTTCCTTTCCTCAAGCTGTGTAATAGCTGTTATTAAAGCCCGTGACCCATGACAGCAGAACATGAGGTCAGCTCGACTGTAAACTAGGATGGGTTTCCACAGAAAAAACACCATCACCACTTATATTTTCTATGTGTAAAAAGAGTTGCTACATCAAATCAAAGAACTATCTTCTACCTCGTTTCCAGCACAAATTTTTAAACATTCGTAACCCTTCGCGTGTCGGTCAAAAATGACAGAATTCTGTTTTTATTTCAGTTAAATAAATCTACTTGCCTATACTTTAGTTCGATTATGTTTTTTTATTTTGATTTGATGGTTCTAAATTATATTTCCGCTGTATTTATAATCCCTTTATTCACTTTTTGAGCAACTTAAACTGTGGTAAATCTTGAATGCTTTGGATCGAAGACGTAAGTTTGATCTGTTTTCAAAGACTACACTTGGCAGATTATTGCTGAAGTGGAAAAAGTAAAAAAAATGAAATTACTGAATTTGACATTTATTGTTATGATGTTACGTTATGATTATGGCTTACACACTCTGAGTTGGGTTGTTTTAATGGACAAACCCAAATGTTGGGTTAAAAATTGAAAAAATTTAATTTAAAACTTTAACCCAACGTTTGGGTTTGTCCATGTTTGACTCGTTGGGTTGAAACAAACCAGCATTTTTTTTTTTTTTTTTAAAAACCTTTTCACAATATTCATCAAAATTATAACAAATAAAGACTTGAGATATCTCACTTTGCATGTAATGAGACTATATAATATATTAGTTTCACCTTTTAAGTTGAATTACTGAAATAAATGAACTT